TTTGGTGATGCCTAGTAACTGGCCTTTTTGTGGTAAATTTTTCCTCTGTGGACTTGCTTGGGTTTTTGTTTGTCTTTTCCCTGTCATTATCTTCTAATACTTTCTATATGTTGGTATTGGCCTGCATTCTTTCTGGGATGGTCGAGGGACTTCCAGATACTTCAGTTGTGGAGGATGTTCAAAGCTGTGTTTTGTTTCAATATCTCCTGTTTTTCTGGCCCCCCACTATGGAATTGTGTTGGTAGTATCAGCCAAGTAACAGGGGTCTCTTGTGGTCTTCAGCTTCTTTGGGTAACACCTAGTATCTGGAAGGTGTCTGCAAGAAGTGCCTGGATGGGCTGATTTTTTTTCTGTTGAATTTATTACTTCTTCTAGGTATGTCTTGACAAAATATAGAGTTAAGAGTGACTAAGGAGTAAGATGGGAGGTTAGGGGAAGGAGAGGATAATATGAAATGTAATAGGGAGGAAGCTGATAGGCAGTAAAGGTTAAATGGGGGAAGAAGGGAAGGGGTGGTGTCAGATGTAGAACAGGCAGAAGAAATAATAATGTTGGAGGGGAAGAAGAAAGAGGAGACAGAAAACCAGTGTAAGAATGAAGGGCGCAGAAATCTACCAGCTGAGTAGTAAAGAAACTGAACAAACATATAAACAAATAAACAATGGATTGCCTCCTGTCCTTATGGTTTTAGGCTGGTCCCCTGGGAGTACCTTAGGACTGGGCAAAGTACCCTTTCCAGAGTCTGCAGTTTAGTTTGGCTTTCTTTTTTTTTTTTTGTCCTTGATGCAGTTGGGTTAGTAAGGAAGTTCTTGAGGTTTCTTTCCACCCAGGATCTCTGCAATCTAGGGACCTCCAGCACAAAGGCTGGCCCAGACAATTTTCTCCAGGTAATTCTGGTAGCTACCTGATTTCAGGTATGTGTGACTTGTGATATTTTTGTCCAGTTGGTGGCGCCAGAGACTTCTCAGTTAATTTTCAGAACTGGGCTTGTTCAAATAGGTCTCTGGGAGAGGAGTGGTGTCAGAAGGAAACCTCCCTAGGGGCAGAAGAGCAGCAAGCCTTCAGTCTGAGGCACTTCCTAGTGCCTGGGCGCTCCAGAATCTGAGCTCTCCTGTCCGTGCTTCCCAATTGCAGCTTTAGTCTTCCTCAGTTTCTTCTATCTAGTGAGTCCAGGGTGCCCTCATTTGGGTTGAAAATCTTAGTGTGTAAATCCGTTGTTAGTCTTATACTTCTTTGTGAGCTTGGAGGTAGTGATTTCAGCATCTTCCCTCTGCTGCCATCTTCTAAAATAAACTTTTTGAGCTTAACTTTTTCCTCTGATTTGTTATTCATTTATATGAATGACATGTCTTGCATGACCTAAGAAA